GAAATCATTGGGATTTTTCGTTTCCGAGAGGAATAAAATATCAGGACAGATACGTTGGCGTATCTCTCTGATCCTCTGAACTGTCAAGGGATTCCCCAACCCTTGACAGTTCCAACAAGCAATTTTTAAGGAAGAGGATTGGATGGATTCTGAAAATCCATCTTCCTCTTTACTATTGCAGGAATAAACGTGCTACTCGGAGGGTCAGTTGCTTGTGAGCTCTCCCCTGTCTGGGGGTTCTTGCTCCGGGAACTAGCAGCTTTTGAGGGTCCCATTGAGACTGATGTTGGATTTCGACACACTTTATGCTTACGTCGGGGGGAGCTTTTTGTTTGTGCAACTTTTCTTTTTCTTGAGCTTGCTCCTACAATTTCTTTTGTTGATGTGGCCGTTTTTGCTATTTTTGGTGGTCGTCCTAATCTCTTCTTTGCAGGTAGTCTTTCAGGGACTGGCGGTCCTAGACGAAGCGCTGCTGGGATTCTTGGGGTAATAGGCAGGTCAACATCATCTGTTTCAACCATTTGAGTGGCCGTCTCCTCCATTTGGCCTTGTTCTTCCGCAAGCCTCAATCTTTCTTTCCTTGCCGCAGATTCAGAGGGATCACCGCAGTTTGAGTATTGGATCATTACCTCTCGCAGCTCGCCTAGTGTTTCATTAAACGCCGATTGAGGAATCTCAATAGGGCTTTGCCTTTGAGGTGCTGCAGGTCTATGGATCCGGCCTCTTGAGCTTGGTGATTCTACAACATTACGGCCGATGAGGTGAGATTCAGTCTCATTAGTGTTGTCTTTATCCATTGTCTCCCCTGTATGACTGGGTCTCTCCCTATTTGTTTCAGCACAGGTCGAAGTTGAGGGTGATTTGAGAGTTCTCCCTGTTTTAACCCATCTAGATGATTGGAGGCGATGACTTTCATTGTGTCTATAGGAGTCTCTCTGATAGCCCGACCTGACAGAGGGCTCTCAAGAAAGGATGCCTCGATTCCCATATCTTTCCTTTTGGAGGCTAGGTGAGTGATATGAATCATACTGAACTCTTGAGTTACCATGACTCTCTTGTGTAAAGTTTCTATTCCTTAGAGGGGATTTTGACTGAGAGACTTTGTGGAAACCTTCCTTGTCTCGAGGAGGTTTGGCTGCCAACGTCCATTCTCTGAGAAGTATGTGGAGGATTACCAGGTGGTACCCGAATAGAGACGTCAGGGCAAGAAGATTCCTCATGGTCAAGTCTAAGACATTTTCGGCAGTGCTTCTCTAGCTTCTCATACACTAGGGTGGCCATAACCACATCTCCGTTTGAGAATTCCATGCAGGATGAAGTTATAAGAGGTAGCAGACCATTAACATGGACTCTCATCCTAGCAGAAGAGGCGGTTATTTCCCAGCATTCAAAAAAACCAATATCTTCTCCTATGCTTCTTAACGTAGCTTCATTCCACAGGTGAATCGGGATTCCTTGGACCCGGATCCAGAACGGGATTTGAGAGGGGAAGGAGGCGGACACAGTTTGTTCCCATTTTTGTAAGATTAACATCCAGCGGGCAAAGTGATATGGTCTGTTGTCCAGAACCATTTGAAGATCCTCCTCGTTTGCAAACTAGAACTGAAACAGACCTTGTCCGAGGTCCGCTCCTACTGGCCGAGAAGAAGTTTTCCAGTGGTTTTCCAGGATGGGGATAAGCGACCAAGGTATCTGGACCTTCGGGTTTGTTACACGGCCCACTAGAGTGAGTGAGTGCTTTCAGATTAGCTCAGAATTATCAAAATCTGGGACCCTTACTCTTCCAGATCTTGGAGGATCGTTAGGGACCGCTATTCCTTTTCCTTTCTCTGCGTATGGTATACGTCGGGCCATTGTTGGGGGATGCAGGCAGAAAACAAGATCTACTTGGGTGGAGGAACTTACGATCTCTATACCAAAAAGGTGAGAGCATTTTACCGGGTTAACGCAGGCCCATAGACGAAAAGAGAAACACCCACTAGCTGTAGCAGGAGAGCTGAAGAAAGCAGGGGCTTGAGATCTTAAGCCACCTTCTTTGAAGCCAAGATCTTTGAGTCACCTTCCGTTGCTGCAGGCTATGAGAACCTTGTGTAGATCTGGTTGCTTGAGGTGGACAAGAGAGCTCTACATCAAATAGATGAGAGCAGTTTGAGAGCAGTTTGCCGGGTTAACGCAGGCCCATAGACGATATAAGGATATGTCAAGCCGTTGTAGCAGGAGCTGTGTAAAAGCGGACCCTTCGACTCTGAAGTCGGGGGTAGAACCCCGGAAAGACAAATACCAGAAGCGGTTTTAGAAGAAAAACTTTCTATTTTAGGAAAAAACCGGGTAGTAAAATGAAGCAGAGGTCAAAACCAGGTGGTTGAAAACTATCTAGAAACTCGGGCCTGAGAGAGTTTTGTTACACAGAGGTCAAACTCAATATCTTTTTGGTTAGTATTTGGCTATTAGCAATGATCAATAGTTTAACTATCATTGAGTTTTAATAAAGATTTAAGAACTTTCTTTTAAATCTTTATAAATGAATAATACACATTATGCCTCTACAAGTTCCATGATCATTAGTTTCAGGTATCATATTGATTATACATCTGCAGTTTCCAAAGAAAGAACAACTCATCTGATTTTGCCTCAGTCTCTGGTGCTGAAGCAAAGCTTGCAACTGCAGATTCCTTCAGGAACGCATATCTCAATGAAGTTGAAACGAATGCTGTAAAATCTGCTGTTGTACACGTCTTCTTCCTTGTGGAAATAATTGTTTACGTCATTGGAAGTGAATGTCTTGCTTAACGTTGTACTTGTCCATGCTGTGCTGAGACAAGTGCTCTGCACTGAAGCAGACCCATTAAGAACTAATGAGATCAGAATGTGAATGTTATTCAATGAGAATGACATTGGTGATGTTGGGATATGCATATTATTGATGCCACTGCTACTCTACATATTTTAGAGCTTTCAAGTCAATGAGAAACAAGATCCGTTAGCTCCAGGAGGGTTCATGCCCCGAGAGAACAGACACACATAGTTCAAGGTGTGCGAATACAACGACATCAATAAGAGGAATGGCGAGCTCAAACTCTAAACAGCTATGCTCTAAGAGAATCAAATTTTTTTTGATGATCAAAACAGTAAACAAAGAGAGAGAGACACACACACCTGTGTGGCAATTATGATTGTTATTGATGACGATCATGTAAGTTGGTGTATTTGGTTATAGTAAGATCTCTAGATCCATGGCAGCTTCTCTAAGACTATGAAATGGAATGTATGCTGCTGCCTCATTAGCAAAAAGCTTCTCATTCCTCCACAATTTCTCCAATCTGCACCTTCCATCATCTGCAAACTTTTAAAAAATAGTTTAATATAAAAATATGATTCACAGAATCAAAAGCAAACCCTGATAAATCCTTAGATACATAAATTATATAATCAGATACTAATTGTAAACAAGTATATAATCATATACTAATTGTAAACATGTACACTTATTCTTAAGATAGAATAGAACATTTACTTGGGGAACTTTAATAAACCCTGAAAAATCCTTAGATTCATAAATTAACTTAGCTAGACAAAATTTTGATTTCCAGAAGAACTTGAATCGAGTAATCCCATTTTCGGGTAAGATCGATCCTATATGTATTTCTCCAAGCTACAGAAGTTATGGTTTCACTAACATGTAACTTTTCTTTATCATATTCCTAGCGAGGACTCTTTACTACAAGATTCTGAAACCAACGTGCTTTCAATCATGAGAAGGACCAAACCTGAAAGACGGAAATCCTTAATAACTAGTTGCTCGCAGAAATTGGGGAAATTAAGAACATATGGATCCAGTAAGGAAAAAGGTGCCTAATCATCAAAGAAATCTAACTGTTTATGGATTCCCCAAATCCTCTTTCCTCCTCAATGATCACTATCATCGCTCGTGGATCCTCGTTCACCAGACTCTATGCTTCTCCTTCTTTGATAATTATCTTCTACGCCATGAATAGGATCTGTGTTTCCTATTCGTATTCTTCATCGGAACTTACGACTTTTGATTTTCGATTTCAATTTGTAGGGTAGATTAGTCAATTAGCTTTTGGGTTAGTGGTATATTTAAAAATGATCAGCGCTTTGTGTTACTTATGAAAAGTAATATAACTAGAGTAGTATTATTGAGATTTTCCCTACCAAAATTATAAAGAAAACTTTATTATGCAGAAAAGTGTGTTTAAAATAGATTATTTACAGATTCAATGTTTATATAATTTATTATATAACTAATTATATTTTGTTATTTAAATAAATACAAATAAATAATTTGGTGTTGCAAAAAAAATATTTAATGATAAATTTATGTCTATTATTTAAGGTTTCTAATATTTTAAAAACTTTATATACTTTTTTTTATTTTAAAAAAATTGTAAAAAATTATAATAAGAATTATATTATTTTATAATAGTTAATTGAATTATTAAATATTTTATTTTTTTTATCATAGATAATATTAAAAATATTTTTAAATAATCATATTTCTCAATCCTGCATAATTTATCCAATCATGTTAAAAAAATGTATTCAGCATTAAATCATTCAGCAATTCTTTTTTTCTACCAATTCAATTCGACAGTAAAAAAAATAAGTTATCAATCGGAGATTGACTTGTAAATTAGACAGTTTTTGAAAAAAAAAATATTTTTGTATCGTATAATAAAACTTTTATAAATTAGTAATGTTAAGACCATTAATTTATAAAGATATATTATTTGGTTGATCAACTAATTTTAAAATTGATATTATTTAGTTGATCAATTAATTTAAAAATTGGTAAAACTATTATTTTATCAATGTATTAATAATTTATTGAGTATTAATTTATAAAAGCTCTAATATATTTTTCAGATTTGGACGAATTTACTTACTAAAAATATTGATTTTTTTTTGGGCCAATTACTAAAAATGCTATATTAATTGATAAATTACATATATATTCAAAAGGATTGAGTATTTGAAACGCCAAAACAGACATAATCTTTAATAATGGAAATTAGGGTCTGCTTTGGCGTTTCAAATACTCAATCCTTTTGAACGTATCCAGGACTTACAGTCATATAAATAGGGAACTCGAACTGACAGAGGAGCGGATTCAGAGAGATGACGACGATATCGCCGAGGCGTGACAGCGGAGGAAGAGCCAGCGACTGCCGCTCCTCGAAGAAGCAACGCCTTCCTTCTGTTTCTGAAGAAGAATCTTCCGACGACTCAAGTTCCGGGGAAGAAACCGAAGTAGAATTTCAAAATGGCTCAAGCGAGAGCCGTGAAAGAGAGCTAGTGGTGCTGAGTGATGATAGCGACTCCGAGGACGAGAAAACATACGCAGAGCTTCTTCGATCAAGAAGACCACGAAGGCTTTCACCACCCAAATCCCTAACGCTGCCGGATTCTGACGTTCTCGACTGCCCTGATTGCTTCGAGCCATTGAGGAAGCCTATCTTTCAGGTTTGGTCCTATTTCTTTGATTGAACACCCTTTGTTTTGTACGATTGATTAAGTTAATGAAATTGCACACGACAACAACATTTGTGAGCTAAGTTCAGAAAAAAATGTCACAGTTTTCATCTTTAATTGGTTATTAATTATCCTTCTATCAGATAAAACAAGTTTTTATTTTGGTTTGCTTAAGCTACAATAACTGTCCTAATTCCAAGTATTGTTGCTTTGGTGTTATTGCGTCTAGTGTAATAATGGCCATCTGGCTTGTTCGGCGTGTTGCACCAAATTGAAGAAGAGATGTTTCTTTTGCGCATTGCCTACCGGTGACATTCGATGCAGAGCCATGGAGAAGGTCATAAAAACATGCGTAATCTCATGTCCCAATGCAAAACACGGGTGTAAACAGATCGCTACATATGGAAAAGAAGAAGCAAGCCATGCGAAGCTGTGTCTTTTTACCCCATGCTCATGTCCCGTACTGGACTGTAACTACATCGGTTCCTACAAGGATCTGAACAACCACTTTCGCATTACACACAAAAAGAGTCCTGGTGAAATCATGTCGATTGAGTTCGGCCGTCAAGAAATCTTTCGCCTTGACTTCAATGATGATCCGGTTGTTTTTCAGATGGAGAAAGAGGGTGATCTGATTGTAATTCAAGGTTTCAAGGGATCACACGGCGTGTATGCCTCTGTGAGCCGTATTGCACCTGTGGTTCCGGTAATGGGTCAACTCTACTGCAGCATAGCCAGACTCAAAGAGAATAGCACACTAAGGCTTGAATTCATGGTGAAGAATGTTCAGAAAGTGAGGGAGAAACAAGAGCAGCCTGAAGATAGCTTCCTGTTAATTCCAACTCATATGTTGAGGGGTGACCACTTGAAGATGCAGATTTGCATCCGCCGTGAGTATGTTCCTAGCTGAGAAGATATGATAAGTACTCTCGTCTATTTTTGCTCAAAACAACGCAAATTGTTTTGTATAAGTTAGGTCGTTGGATCGTAAACTTTTTTTTTCTACTAACGGCTACCTTCTTTTTGTATGAATCACATTGAGAGATCTTGCTGAGAAGATATGATAAGTACTCTCGTCTTTTTTTGCTCAAAACAACGCAAATTGTTTTGTATAAGTTAGGTCGTTGGATCGTAAACTTTTTTTTTTCTACTAACGGCTACCTTCTTTTTGTATGAATCACATTGAGAGATCTTGCATATCTTGATGCTTCGCATGTGTTTTGAATTTGATATTTATGTTATAGGTACCCTGTATTATAAACTCTTGACTCATCCCGGTATAACATGAATATGTTGGCCTTTCATCAATTTATTTTGGTTTTAAGATTCTATTTTTAAGTTATTACAACTTACAGTACACACTTTCTTGTTTTGAAAACGTAAAGGTATTATTATAAACAGATAAAGGTTCAACAACTACAAGCCTCTGCTCTATCATTCGGTATGATCTCTACTGCCACTACAAATACGTTACGGTACAACTACTGTCCTGCATGAAACTGCAACTACAGCGGCGTGTACAAGGATCTCTACAGCCACTACGATGCTAACCACAGGAGCACATGGCATCGTTCTGGTGTGGCACTTCAGAGCTTAAGTCCGAAGATTTCAGTCTTTCAGGAATATAGAGAGCAGAGATGGTCCTTTGGTTGTAGTTCAGACTTCAGAGTTTTTAGATGCCAGAAGGAATGCGTATGACTGTGAACTGTATTATATATGTTTAGTGGTGATCACATCACATGAAGATGCAGATTTGCATTGGTAGTGGATATAAGAGCACCTCCATCAACGGAATGAAGGAAGGTATCTAAAGAATTAAATAATGAAAGAAAAAAAAAAAAAAAAAGCATCAAAGGAGAACTTCTTAGATATTCTTAGATACCATATTTAACATTTACTTGTTTTCTAGTGGTTTAATTTTTTTTTTCTAACTAAAATTAAATTATCTAACTAAAGTATATTTCACTGAATAGTTCTCACTCCTGTTACGTTTATGTTGAACCAGAAAATCACCATTAGAGTTTTGATTAACAGTTGTGGGTTTCAGAGAATAAAGTCTTTTATTAATAGCAATAAAGCGAAACGATTACAAAGAATATGATAACCAAAAGGTTATGCCGAAGTGAAAAGAGTATTTGCGAAGTGAACTAGAAAGCGTTGGATTCTCTGGTTTTAGCTCTGTTGCTCTGTAGATTGTATGAGTTGTCCCTCTAGGCTTCGGGGTCTCTGTATTTATAGGAATAGGAGGTCGGTTGTTCCGAACTCCTTTTCTTTTTTGTCTTTCGTGAATATTTTCATATTTACGATATGGAAATATCCTTTATTCTCCGAAAAATATGGAAATTCTCCTTTATCCTTTGAGTTAATCCAATGTTTCCGGTCTTCGATGGTTATTCCTAGGCTATTCTCTTTAGCCCGAGCTAGGTCGGCGCGGTCTTCATAGTTCCAATGGGCTTAGGTTATTTCTAGAGGAAGCTTTTTAAGAAATGTGCTCATTTTCCCTCTAACAGCAAGTCCCCCCCCCCCCCCCCCCCCCCCCAGTTCGGCGAGGCTGATTATAAATCAGATCGGCGAACTTCATGATATTGGAAATTGGTTTGATCTCGCAATAAGCGTTAGTTCGTCGAGACTGTTGCTTTGCGATGGCCAGTTCGGCCCGTTTTTAAGTAGAGTTGACGCGCAGCGCTTTCTTGGAAATATTTATTTAAAATTCTGGCCCGTGCTAGGGTTTTGCCCTTTAAACGGGAAAGGCGAAGGGTTTTTGCCAAGCGGCGAGATTGCAAAAATCCTGACACGCGTCTTTTTAGGAAATTGTTGATATTTCTTTCCGATTTAATTGTTTATTTCTATCTTCTCGTCTTCTTGCTTTTAGAAAATTTCTTGCCGATTTCTGCGTTGATTTTTCTCTTTTTGCTCTATTAATTTCTCTTCAACTCTTGACAACGATATGGGTTTAAGGAAGATAAGCAAAATTCCCTTGTTGGATGTGGATATTCCCGATTTTTCTCCAGCGATATTTGATGAGTACTTTGCAGCAAATTTGGCTTGGTCATGTAGGGCGAAGCCTAACCAAGGGATGTCAGTGGAGAGATTGAAGCGATTTTCTTGTTTTCCGGGATGGCGCAACGTTTTATGCAGGGTTTAGGTTTATGCGCATCGCTGGTTGAGTCATACGATAAAGAATCCGTACGGGAGGAGAATTGGACCAAGGATTTGTTGGAAAAAGATCGAGAGCTTCACAGTGCTTTGGCGAAGATCAAGGATCTTGAGCGCGAGAAGCTCAAGTTAAAGCTTGACTATAAGTCGCTTGAGATTGAATCTGCCAAAGAGATAAGACTTCTCAAGGAAAATCTCGAGAAGAGAGCGGCTGAGGAAGTTAAGAACGCGACTGCTAAGGAAAAGAAGTTCCGGGATCACCAGCACATCTCAGTTGATCGCGTGGTGGATCTAGTGTATCGGCGTCTCTGCGAGTAGTATGATCCTTGCATCGAGCGGATTAAGAGATTCATGGCGCAAGAGCCCGACATTCATCGGCTGGAACTTTGGATTGTCGACGCCGAGGCGAGGGCGGATTGTTATAAGCAGTTCAGATCGGCAGGACACGAGATTCCAGTTGAAAAGCTCTTATGTCATTCTACCGCAGCTGAACGTTTGAAGATGGAGCGTCACAGCATAAAGGATGCTCCAATTTCCACAAATAATTTTTCTGCGCCTACGCGTGTTCATATGCGCCCTCCTGATGCCGAATTAGCAGCAGCAGGGATCCGGTTGCCGAGGCAGCGTAGGGCTTTGTAGTGGTTTTTTGTTTGTTTTTTTATTGTAAGACAAAAATTGTTTTCTTTTTATCAATGGATAAGATTTACTTATTGTGTTGCGTTTCGTACTCGTTTTGACGAGTTAGACCTTAATTCTAAGGTTTTTGGGAAGTCAAAAAATTTCTTTTGTCTTGTGATGCATGGGCATTATTTAGGCCGGTGCTGGAAGCAAGATTCATTAGCTCGTCTTATACTAAACGACATTCATGATCGAATACCAAGCTTTAAGAATTCTCTTTGGTCTGAAAGGTATGATCGAGAGTCGTGCGAGTATTGTCCTCGGCTTTAGTCTTATCTACTTCGAAGGTAATTAAAGCGAACCGAAGTGTCAAAGGAGTGGTGATCAGCCACTAATTTAGTTTGCTTGCTCTCTTAAATCGAATGTTTGGCCAGAACATCGATTCAGCAAGATGCATTCGCACAAGAAAATATAGCTCTTTTTGCCGAGCTGAGAAGGTTTTATGAAAGATAATTTTATTTAGACAATGACTGAACCCGAAGGCTGCCTATGTACCCAAAGTGGGATCAAGCCATTCGTAGTTCTTAGTAGTACATTCTTCGCCGAGCTTACGGTTTTTAAGTATAGTATTTCCTTAGGTTCGTGGAATTACGAGCTCGCTCGACTGGCTCTCCCTTCATGTCTTCTAGTCTGTAGACGCCGGGTTTGACGACTTCTGTAATGCGATATGGTCATTCCAAATTTAGCTCAAGTTTTAATGGGTTTACGGTTCTTTGTAAGACGAGGTCGTGAAGTGAGAATAGTCGGCATCGGACTTTCTTGTTGTAATACCTAGAAACTTGCTGCTGGTAATTTTGAATTTGTAACAAGGCTTAGTCACAAAGCTCTTCCGCGTTGTCGACTGCGTCGATCAGTTTTTCTTCGTTCAATTGAAGATCTCGAATCATCAAGGATCGCCGAGCACTAGGTACATGCACTTTGGCAGGTGCCAAAGCTTCACAGCCGTGGGATAGTGAGAAAGAGGTTTCTCCCGTTGCAGTTCGTGGAGTCGTTTGATGGCACCAGAGGACTCCATCCAGTTCATCCGCCCATCGCCCTTCTAGTTCATTTAGCCGTTTTTTGAGACCGTCGAGGATCGTTTTATTAGAAGCTTCTGCTTGCCCGTTGCCTTGTGGGTAGCACAGTGTTGAATAACTTATGAGTATCCCTCATTTTTCACAGAAACTTTGGAAAATTGACGAGATGAATGGTGTGCCGTTATGCGTAACGATCTCATATGGGAGGCCGTGCCAATATATGACATACTCCCAAATGAAGAGCTGGGCATCGATTCCCTTGAGGGTGGGGTAGGCTTTAGCCTTGACCCATTTTGTAAAGTAATATGTCACCATCAGGATGTACTAATTGCGACCTGACTTGGGCATCGGGCCGATCGCGTCCATTGCCCACCTCATGAAAGGATATGGCGGAACGGCAGTCTGAAGTAATTCGGTAGGCGCGTTGATGACTGGTGCGTATTTCTGACATGGTTCACACCGGAGTGTGAACTGTTCACACTCTTGGATCATCCTGGGCCAGAATAAACCGTGCTTCTTGATTTTTAACGCTAAAGCTCTTCCTCCTGAATGATTTCTGCTTGCCCCGTTATGGGTTCTATCATGACTCTTTTGGCTTGTGCCTTGTCGCAGCATCGCATATTACTTTATTCGTTGTCCATCAAAAAAGGTTTCCCTCTTCCATGAAGTATTACGCTGCTTTTCTTCGGAGGCGTCTAGCTGCCCATCTGTCTTCCGGAACCGTCCCTTCTAACAGGTAGGATTTGATTTCGTCTTGCCAAGGCTGCTTCTGTTGTTCGGCATCTTCCTCCATTGAATCGTTCACCTCGTCATCTTGATGTAACACTGCGTTGCAGAATCCCTTCGATAGATGAATACTGGGTTGCTCGATGATTTTCACTGGGATCGTTAGACGGAGGGCAGGATCCGTTGTGGATGCCAATGCTGCCAGTGCGTCGGCAGAGGTATTTTCAGCTCGCGGAATTTTGGTTAGTACGAAGGAGTCGAACTGTTTTGCTATTTCTTGAACCTGTTTAAGATATGCGTCCATTCGTTCGTTCTTTGCGTCGTAATCTCCCCT